TGTCTTCCTGGAGACCATCGAGTCAGCCCTGGAGGGCTGGAGCATAACAGAGATAAGAATCTAGGACAGAGAGCTTTTACAAGGAGTTTGTCATTGGGCTGCTGAAAAAGAGCAAAGAGGTACAATTTTTTAATTACCTCTGCAGCCTTCATGTAAATATTGAGAAGGGATACTTCTTCCACACTTGTTATGTTCAATATGAGGAACAGCACTGCTTCCTGGCATGGAGTAAGGAGCTCCTTTGACCATCATCTGGTTTATGGGAGAGCAGGAGCTCCCACAATTCTACCCACATTAGGAAAACTTTTCACTGCTTTTTTTTGTTTAGTTTTACTTTGGGTATAGCCCTGACCTCCCAGGATTTGCAGGAGAACATCTCCTCTCTCCTCTCCCTGCTCTTTATCCCAGCAGCAGCTCCTGTTTGTAGGTGCAGGCACATAAGGAGTGAGGCAGTGCCTGGGCATGAATCACTGCCTGAGCATCCTGTCTCCTGAGGAAACAGGGATGGAAAGCACTGGCAGAAGTTTAGCTGACCTGCTGGGAACAGTTCACTCTGTTTAACAGGAAAAAAAGCCTCAGACCTTGGTAAGGCATGGATTTAATTTGTAATAAGGAATTTAACGATGCCTCTTCCACTAGGATCCTCCTAGGATCTAGGATAGTAAAGAGGTGGGGGAGAAGTTAAGAGATACCTAAATAGCTTAGAAATTATTTTTAAAATCTCTGTTCAGCAGAAACTAGCTAAAGCAGAGTATGATTTGCTAGCTAGACAGAATTGCTTAACAAGACACATGTGCACATTACTGCCATTAAGCAATCAATATACCTGGGTGCAGGGCTACACACAGTTTATTGTTCCTCCCCTTGCTTTGCTCTGACTCAGCACTGAGACTGTACAATTGGGCAGGTAATACCCAGGCAGCAGAGAACTTCTTGTGATAAACAGTAGTGTAGCCAAAGGGGAAAAACCCCAAAACCAGCCCCACAAGCAAATCAGGCATGTTTTTATCTATCTAACCTCTGACCTATAAGCTTTTTTTTTTTTCTCTCTTTAACTAGAACCTCAGACTGCTGCTTCTCTGCAGTCCAACTCCTCACACTACACTCTGCACTGCCTTCAAGAACCCATCTAGCAGAGGATTCCTCTTTCAGCATGTTCACACCTGCACAATTACCATAAGTGGAAGAAATTTCCTCTATTCTACAGCAAACAATGGAAAGGATTGCATTTCTCTTTCTGCTCAAAACCAGAACACATTTCTCTTTCTGCTCAAAACCATAACCTGCTTTCAGAGCAGGTTATGAAACTCCCCACACATCAGTTCAGAGAAAGGCTGTGTCACACAGAGGTGACTGTGTGCTGTTGTACCCCACAGCCAGATAATGCAGCTGTGACAGTCCAGTTCCAGAGAGCCCATTTTCTTCCTCAAACACATTCTAAGCCATTCTAAGCATGTCTTCCACATGTCTTAATGTCTTAATTGAAGATAAAAAGAAAACTCCCCTCTTGATGTGGTACCAAGCACAGTGGGATTCTCACCCTCCTCTGAAACATCCAAGCAAGGGGAGCTCAGCCTCCTCACCAACTTCACTGAACTAATTACTGTCTGAAATTAAGCACATGCTTAAATGCTTTGTCAGGCCCAGGCTTCTGGATTAACTGCAGACTCAGTCTCTCCCAGCACATCACTCGACAGTGAGCTCCTTCCCACTCCGTCCCCACCCATCGGAGTCTTCGGGGAACGTTGCCATGGATTTCCACGGGACACAAGAGTCCATATTGGAAGAACCCTGTTAAGGTTGCTAGGCGTAAATATTGACTTAACGGCTCTTCCGCCTTTTTTCTTTTTTAAGAACAGATTTGTTGGCCACGGCTGGAAAAATAGAATTATGGAGTATGCATGATTCACTCTGGCACTCACACAAACATGCAGATCAGTTGGCTGGCAGCTCGGCTCCTCTGTTCGCAGAACATCGCTCCTAAAATGTGTCATTTTGTTTTGGCAGCCAGAGTGTCCAAGCCCACAGACAGAGATAAAATCTCCTACCTTCCATGTACTTCACATGGGAGTCACTGACCTTATGCTGCACAGAATATTGGATTAATACTCCCAACAGCTTTTTAGTCCAGACACACAGAAGGACTGACAGAAGTTTTGGTTCCACACTAAGAGCCCAGCCCAGAAACCTCCCCTCTCACACCCTCTCTGCCAACACAAGAGAGGGCTGGAAAGCAACTGCAGGTAAAACTGTTTATTCAAAAGTCTTTTCAATAAGGGCTGTTTCACAACCAATAATCCTTGTGACAGAAGGAAAGTAGCAGAAGGTTAGAGAAGACCCAAAGCTTTTGGTCACTGGATTCATGTTTTCATCACCTGTACTCCATGCTCAGACTTTTAATCCCGACTGCAAAAAATGCTCCTCTAAACATTACTTCGACACACAGCACCATTCAAACTCTTTCCCACATTTATTTTGCCAGATATGAATGATTTGGCAGGACTGGCATGGGAATGAACCTTCACCAGAGATGCCTGAGAGTACAAAGTGTATGGGACACTGTGGGCATTGATCCTGGACATGCCAGCACAATCTCTGACTGTTCTAAACACCACATACAAGGGCATGATCAGCTCACCTGAGAGCAGCCAGACTGCAGGGAGTATATTCAGGATTTCCTACCAGACCTCAGTTTGATATACAATTGAGGGAAATCAAGAAGAGTTGTTACATTTCACAACATTTGGCAGAAGTCTGCCAGAAAGCACAGAGCTTGTCAGGAGGAAAATAAAAATCCAATGATTGAGGATAGGAGGAGAAAGTCCAGTGTAGGACAAGAGATGCTTCTCTGAAGACATCTCAATGAGTTTGCCTGCATTTTAGCCAGGCAGGGTGTCTTTTATCCCATCAGAGTTTAAGCATCCTCAAAAGATACAATGCAAAACCAGACAGGGAGACTAGGATCAACACCTGTGCATATTTATATTTACTTTGCATGTACATTTGCATATTTCTATTTGCTTTGCATCCATTCTCTGTGTCTCTACACCTTCCCCTCAGAGAACAGGGACCAACTGGTCCTGCCAGGCATCCTCTGTGCACACCCTCCAGATGAGGCAGTTCAGTGCATGGTACATTTAAGGCTGTGGCACCTCACAGCTCTGCAGGGAAGCCCGGGGCTCTGGGGTCCCACCCATTCATTAGACAACACAAGAACTAACCGTGCCCACTCAGTGTTAAGCTGCAAGAAACAAAAGCAAGAAAACTTAGATGGAGCTTAGCAACAGCTGCTCAGGATCCATTCAACTGCACTCAAATCTATTTTTACTGACAGCTTTTGAAGCAGAGAATTCATTAAACAGAGGAACAGGTTGATATCCATTCTCCTCAACTGTAGGCAGAATTTAGTTTGTTGTTTTCTAATTGTTTCCTTGGTGGCACATACAAATTCAGCACTGCATCTGCAAGCAAGGATGTCTATTTTCAGAATAAAGACAATGACAGGCAAAGTTTGTATTAGCAACAGCTAAGTAGAAGACACCAGGGGATAAAAAAGGGACATTCTCTTTTAAGGTCCTAACATGCACAGGACAAGAGACTGAGTAGATCTAATTGCATGAAATTAAGGAATTTTCTGCCCACTCATTCTCCTGCCCTTGCAGCTGGAAAAGCACAGCCTGGGTGCTGCCTCCTGGTTTCTCAGGAAGTTGTTTGCAGGGAACAGAAATGTTTCACAATGCAGAAGCAAGAAATAACCTAAGTGATTTCTCTGCTCTACCAGCTCAGGATCAAGGCTGATGCAAGTCAGTTCTTACTGCATGTGGATATTGCCCCTCTTACATCCCACATGAGTATCAGGGGACAAAAACTCATCAGCACAAAGACTTCCAAGCTGTGATTATTGGCCATTATTGCCTGGTTACAGACATGGCAATGACTGAGTTTTGTGACAGGTTCTCAATAACACCACACAGCACGACATGTTGTATTTGTCACTGGGTTTACATTGTACTAACCCAAGGTGGGCTTGGCAATAAGAAGGCATTGCTACAAATAGTTGTAGCTGTTTGGAGCCCCATTTATGTCTCTCCACTGAAAAGGATCCCCTCTGCCTGCTGAGATGTCTGAATTTGCCCTTGAACCAGCTCCTCTGACTTAGGCTGGCTGAGCTCTTCATCCAGTTAGTTTTTAGGATCTGTTTGTCACATGGTGCCCAGATGATCAGCCATCACCTCTGACATTACCAAGCAATGGGGACGAAGTCCCACTTGGGACAGAAGTGTAGCAGATATGAGTGTCCCAGTCCAGTGCAAAGTAGTTCTGTACAACTGTGCTACCTTTAACTCAATGAGAAGATACTTTTAGAAGTTCAAAACATACTACACGAACCAATCCTAAAGTAACCAACCTCTTTCTACTTCCCAGAATGAAAGTCAAGGGTGATAAGTTCAGATCCAAATGTCTCAAGTCAGATGAGATGAATCTCACCTTCAGGGCATAAGATGAAGAAGAAGAAAGGATCAAGCCTCTAATAACTACAATGAATTCATAGCAATTGTGAAATTCCTTTTTCCAGTCAAAGTAAGGAAAAAAATACATTTCCCTTCCAGAAGTACAGAGGTACCACTCATCTTTATGGCACAGGTTAACATCATCTCCTATGACAATCCATGGCACGTGATCATTTTAGAGCAATTAGTAAAGAGACTGTTTCAAGCCCTTAAAAATTATAACCTCAAATCCTGTGACACAACTGCTGACATGCTTAGTGGATAAAGTCTCTTTATGGCATTGTAGACTTACTCTAGCCTCACTCCTTTCCCATTTTGCAGTGAATATGAAAGAGCATTTCTCAAAACATTTTCAGCACCATTTAAATGTGCATGATCTTGTCTGCCTGTGATGGGCTGAACAACTTTTCAGTCACATTTGTCAATCACTGTTCCTCAAATGCAAGAGTCTAACAAGCAAAGAAGCAGAAATCAAAGTCTGGTACTCACTTTCTCAGCACTGCGATTTCATTCTCTATGCTGCTTTCCTTTCCCTTCAGTGCCTTCTTGGGAATGCATTTGACTGCAAAGAGTTTCCCACTCGCTCTCTCTTCAGCCAAAACAACTTCAGAGAATGCACCCCTGAAAGAAGAGAAGAAAAGCCCTGGTTTAAAGTGGTATTTTCTCTTTGAAACCTGTAAACTGAAACACAACCATTGAACATAGTTCTTCTGGTGTCCTTTGGAAGCTGCTCTCGTTAAACACAGAAATGACATTACAAACATCTTTCTTTGCCTTTACAAACATATGGAGACATTCACACTCATGCAGTACATTAAAGGCTTACCAGACACAATCATTTTAATAAAGAACTAAGTGACACACCAGTGTCAGGAGTGCTCCTGGTTCCTCAGTCACCACAAGAGCTCAGGGCCCCCACTCTGGTCCCCCCTGGGCTGCCCAGAGCTTCTCCTCACCATTGGATCAGCCCTGACTCAGGCTGCATCACAATTTCTCTATGTATACAGAGTTACTCCACAACACAAACTGATGTGTGTAACCACTAAAGCCAAAGAATTGGATTAAATCACAAATCTAAACGTTGGCCTTAGTAGCAGCCTCCCTATGGTTACCCCAAGAGGGTTACACAAATAAAGAAACATCATCACAGCAGCCAGTCACTAATTGCCAAGAATGGGCAGTGCCTCTCCTTCATTGGGTTATTTCATAACAGTGTATTATTTCTTGCACTGTCATTGCTTCCTTCCAAGCCTCTGAACCTAACCAAGAATAGGCCAGGAAAACATCACAGTCAGTGTTATGGACACATTTTTTCAGTTCCCAGATTTTTTGAGCATTTGAGCATCGTTCAGACTTTGCTGCTCTGGACAGACTTTGCAGTGGTACATTGGGACCATCCTTATATTCTGGGACTTGTTACTGGTTTAGCAGCAGGGTACTGGGGCAGAGAGAGCATTGACCTGATAAAGAACAGTAAAACCTTTTTCCTATTCACCAAAACCTCCTCCTGAAGCATTCACTTTGTCCAAGAGAGATCAGATCCAAGGATTTGTCGAACCTAATGAAAGCTGAAGGATCAGAGTGAGCAACCTGGTCTAGCAGCAGTCCCCTGCCCATGGCAGGGGATTGGAACTATATGATCCTGAAAGTTCCTGCCAACCCAAACCATTCTTTGATTCTACGATCCACCAGCTGAAGGTTTGTGTTTTATTTATAAGAAATAAAAGCAGTGTTTCCTTTATTATTTCCCCTCATGAGCACATTATTCTGCTGTCCAACACAGCTCACTCTGATAAATACTCAGGAGGGTGCTGAGCAAACCCAACCATCCAGCCTGCTCTTTAAAGGTTAATGTTTGGTCACAGCCTCATCTGACTACCACCAGCTTTCTCTGGTTTTCATTCCTGACAATTGCTGCTTATCTAGATGTTCTGTGGATAAACAAAAGAATTTCCTTTCCTGGACAGGCTCCTCCTTTTTAAGTCATGCACTTGGATGACACAACCAGGCTGCTGTGACCTCATCAACAGCTCTCGAGTTGCAAAACAGCCACATGAATCATGAAGTGGATAAGCAAAAGGAAGAGGCTGCTGCTCTGGAAACAAAGTACCTGTTTACCCAGAAATGCTTTTGGAGCCAGCAGATAGGGAAATAGTGATAGGAAGTTGATGGAAAAAGACTCGCATGCTGTTACAGAGCAGATGTTTGACAGCTTGTCCACATGGGGCAGTGATCCTCTGAACCAAGAAATGTTTTGCCTCATTTTTACTAAAAAGGACAGACAATGGCTACTTTTATGCCACTTGGAGTTGCAGAATGATTCCCCCTTTTCTGCTTTGTGTATAATCCACCAGAGCATGTCAGAGCATCACAGGCTCCAATTTAGGGTTCACACAACTGAGCCAAATGATTTGCACAAATAAGCCACCCAGAGTGTTTTTAATTATATTCCTTCCTTTCCTGTTATTGACAGCCCTAGCCATTCAATTCACCAAATAAGGTTTTCATCCTGACCCTCATGCTTGGGACAGCCAGACCAGAACTGCAACAAAACCCTTTTGCTGGAAAGCCCTGAGACCTCTGGGTGCCCACCAGCTTTGGTTGCAGACCAGAGCACTCAGAAACTCAGAGGGCTGCTCCCAGCTGTAATCCATGAAACCCTTAAGTCTCATCTGCTTAAGCTTTCAGCACTGCACTTTGCTCCAGCTGTGTCTGAGCAGGCTCCTTGCCTTCAGTTAAACGGTGTTAGAAGCTGCAATATTCCCACCAGTCGTTTACTGATCACTCAGCTCTCCCAGTGTTTATGATATTACAAAAACACAGGGAGTTCCCATTCCAGTCTGCATTTCATTGCTGATCTCAGAAAACAAAATAGAGGAAATCCCTTTATTTCCCCTCTGCACTATATAGTTGACTCTGTGAAGCACCTCTTTTCAGCTGGCTCCATCATTTCACTGGATTTCTTCCTCCACTTATCAGACACGGTTTCCCTGGTTGGAAAGAGCCTCTGTGAATTTAAATGAAATTTTTTTTTTTGTGGAGCTCTGCAATACTCATGAAACCCAATTCCCTATCTCCTTAACAACCTTTCTCATTATAGCATGAAATAACCTGAAGCTCAGCTAAAGTGTTTGGTCCCATGCCAACCCCAGGCACGGACAGGGTGCTGTTTTTACACTGAGTTTTATATGAGACCATGGTATGAAATTGCTGATGCTGGGAAGAGTTCCTGGGCAATGGGAAGGGGAGAGCTGGGCTGGATCTGCTGGGAGGGCAGGAGGGAGATGTGAGGAGGCAGAAGTGAGGCAGTCTGCATTATTCTGTGCACTTCATATGCTCCTGTGCTCACAGAGCAAGGGAGGGGGGCAAAGCAAGGAGTCAGTGCACGAAAGAAAGAAAGAAAAGTGAAGTGCAGGAAGGAAAGAGAAGGAAGAGAACAGGTGCAGAGAGGGATCAGAGTGTTAAACAGAGACTCAGCAATATAAGGCAAGAGGAAAGAAAGGGTGGGAGGGAGCACCAGCAAGTGAAGGGTCTGCTGGAGTCAGGGAAGAGTCAAAATACTGAATAGATGGGCAAGCAATTATCATAGTTTCAAACATGCAGCTGAATTCATCCACCCTTAATGACACAGTCCAGCCTCCACTAAACCCCTCTTGACTCTAGCATGAATAGGTAAATATCAGAGAGAAAGTCAGAAAGACAAGGCTGCTCATTTTCTTGCTAACAGCAATATATCCTACAGCAAATCCCCACTTCCTCAAAAATGTTCCCCAGAACTACCAGCTCAGCAAGCTTGATAAAGATTTTTTTCTCCCCAAAAGGAATTAATACTGCCTTTAAAATCATTATACTAATGAAAAAAACAATTAGATTCTAATAATTAATTATAATTCTTAATTGATATTTAAAATGTAATTTTGTACAAAGTTTTAGCAAGAAGTTTGGGGTAGGAAAATATTACATTTTACACCATCAACATGACAAGACTTTTATGAAAAGGCCATGGCTTCCATTAAACATCATCAAGCAAAAGACCAAATATCACACTGTGATATAGATTTTTATTTTTTAAATTGGGACAAGAAGTTAGCTAGTTAAAAATTATGATTGTAAATGTGTCTGAAAGGGTTGGGGTGCACCATTCCCTTCAGTTGGGAAGGAGGTAAATGCAACCTTTTCAACATGCCCAGGGACAAAGTCTTTGTCTCTCTGAAGAGGAGCTACCAAATCCTTCAAGAATTTTCCCTGTCCTGCCTGCAGATGATAGCAAACAAGCAAAAAAGCATCATGGCTTTGAGGAAGTAGGACAGTGGTGGAAATGAAACCACTTTTAGCTGCCAAAATCCGTGTGCAGCAACAACCTATTTTTTAAAGTTTTGACCATATTATCATTTATCCTGGAGGAACTGCTCTTTTCAAACTTCTAATTAAGGCATGGAATATTTTTATGATTTAGATCACTTCCATATGAATTAAGAACAATGCAAGAAAAAAAAAAGATGTTAAAGAACTTGAGTGACATTAAGGTAGTGGCAAATTCTAGAGGGTTCTTGAGATGTTTTGAGTACTCATCCCCTTGCAAACACCTGGACTATGCAGTATCTTATGCGATGCGAATGTTCTAGAGTTTTGATTAATTTAAATTATTTCTTGTGCATTGATTTTCTTTTATATGGATTTAAAGATTATCATTTCAAGTTTAACATTGAAATATGAACATTTTTCATACCGAAAGACACTGGATTTTCTATGAGAAAGCAGTGGCTGCAAGGCTAGGCTATCCTGCAGATCAATGCAAAGCAAAGAACAAGTATGTTTTTCCTTCTTCTGTTGGAACTATAACTTATTATGAACATTCAATATCTGAAATACAATGAACAGCATATACTATGAGAGCAAATCTGTTCTCATTCTACAAAAAAAATTGCTATGACAAATACACTGACAAAATGAACACAAAACTGATGGATGGATGGATGAAACTTTATTTTTTCCATTCAACCTCAATGTTGAGCAGTTTTCCACTGCATTAGCAGGTGCTCTGTCACACTAAGTCAACACACATAGCCAGGAAACAGATTTCACATCTTCAGGCTGCATATAGCTAATGTTCTTAATTATGATACAATTGGCTTCCCATGTGTACTTTGCCCTGGCCAAACCAGGGGGAAAAAAGTGAACACTCAACATCTGAAAAATATACCATGTCCATCCACCCTGAGACAGAAAGACTGACTGAATCAAAGGGAGACAAATCAAACTAAAGGTCATTTTCATAGTGTGGCTTTGGCAACCACACTGAAATTCTGTTCCTTGACTCTCCAAAGAAAGGTGACTTTGGATTGCACCACAAATATAGGGGAGAAAATGTCTTTGTTAGCATTTTCAGAGCTTCTTTCATGGCCCTCAAGGAGTTAACTGCAGGATGAGCTCAAGCTCTGTGGAACGCACCAAGGGAGTTCTGGTCCTGCAGACAACTTTTCTACTAATCCATTTTTCTGCACAACTCATGTTCTCTCTTTTGACTTTTTTTTTTGTCATTTTCTACTCAGTTGTTTTTGTAAACATCTCCTCACTCTCCTCACACAGGTGCATCCCAACACAAACCCAACTAAAGCTGG